TGAATGAATTAAAATATATGCTAGGCTAAGCTAAGCTAAAAGTGTTCCCTCCAAACCCAGAGATTGACTGAATGGATTCAAAAAAGCGTAGTGCTCCATTACAGGGTTAGTTCACGCCAAAATGAAAATCATCTTGTGATTTACTCTCCGTCAAGGCATTCTACTTGTATATAGCTTTTTTTCTTAGTTCCAATCAAGTTTCCAGTTCTGCAAGGGAAATAAGTGGGTGATTTTTATTAGCAGTCCAATAAAGCACATCCATCCATAATACAAAGGGTCTCATGTGGCTCCTAAGGATGATTACAGGTCTCTTTTAGTGAGACTTTTTGTGTAACTTCCGCTAAACGCCATCTGTCATCATCTTGTCCTTCTTTTGGGGTGCATTTGTAGAAATTAGGGATGCACCGAATTGAAAACCGAAAAGGAGGAAAGCAAAGCAGAAAATCGAAACAGAAATAAATTATGCCAATTAGCAGGTAGGTTGCTGTGGCACAGTGGGTAGCACGATCTCCTCCCAGCAAGAAGGTCTCTGGTTCGAGCCCTGGCTGGGTCAGTTGGTGTTTCTGTGTGAAGTCTGCATGTTTTCCCCGTATTGGTGTGGGTTTCCTCCGGGTGCTCAGGTTTCCCCACGGTTCAAACACATGCACTCTAGGGGAATGGATGAACTAAATTGGCTCTATTGTATGAGTGTGAATGCAAGAGTGTGTGGGTTTTTCCCAGTGGTGGTTTGCAGCTGGAGGGGCGACCCCTGATTAATAAAGGCAGTGAAAAGAAAATGAATGAATGAATGAATTTACGGCTATGACTATGTACTAACATTACTGTGTACATAACATTACGTTCAAGGCATTGCAATTGCATACATTAATATTAACGTGTCAAAGAATAAACCAGTTACAAATGAAACTTAAATATTTATTTAGCACATTACAACAATGGGCTATCCTTTCTGGGGATGGAGACTTTAGACAGATAGATCTATTCAATTCAAGGTGGAGCTTGGCGTCTGCCTGACATAGGAGATAGATTTGAGGGTGTATTTTACTTGGGCCAGTGCATAAAGAACAGTTTTAAGGGTCAACCCAAGGAATTTAAGGCTGCCAATGCATTATTTCCCCTTAATTTTCCAAGTGTTCCCTTAACCATTGCTACAAAGCCCTTAGTACTTTAAGGAACCAAAACCGCTCCCTTAGATAAGGATATTACACTCAAAATGCAAACATTCTCATCCAAATAAAAATGTTTTAGATCAAAGACTCACAGGATTGTAACAAAAAAAAAAACAACATTTACAAACATTTAAACAAGCTAATAAACACTGCGTGCCAATGGCACATCTGCGCAGGAGTGCATCCATATTAAACTGCAATATTCAACAGCCTCTATGTGATCTCAGCGTCATCACAACATACTGTTTGGCCATGTTGTTTTGGTGATAAAACTCTTTCAGGGGGCAAATATTTGGTGCATGCCTAGTTAAAATAGCAGTTGCACTATGTAAACAAGCTGTAATTTAAAGTGATGAACAAGGATATGTATAAATGTAAGCTTTTCATGTTTATGCGTAAAGCCAATCTCAAAAAATTCGTTTTGCACAAGCGGTGTATAAAAAAGCCCAGGGTGTTTACTCTAAGGGACTGTTTAGTGCTGATTAAATATACCATTACGTAACCCTTTCTGTGGCTAACAGCTGGCTTTCTTACTGTATTAATAAGCTGCCACACTGTGCCGAGACGTGCCATTTGAACGTGGTGAGCTGCTTTATTATGGGCTAACGGCGTATAATGATGTGACTCGGGCTCTGCAGCATGGTTTGTAGAGTTTTTGAGATGTTCTGGAGGTCGGCCAGTGAAATTGATGGTGTACTGCAAGTTCCAGTCTTTATGATGCACCTCATCTAAAAAAAAATGAACAGAATAAGGCCAAAGCACTGCATAGTTGCTGGAAAATGTGATGTGGTGCTTTAGGAACATGGTCGATTATGGGAAAAATCATAATCTCGATTATTTTGGTCATAATTGTAATTGCAATTATTCAAAACGATTATCAGTTGAAGTCAAAATTATTCACCCTTCTGTGATTTTTATTTTTTTTTATATATAAATATTTCCCGAATGATGTTTAACAGGGCGAGGTGCAGTAGGTAGTGCTGTCGCCTCACGGCAAGAAGGTCGTTGGGTCGCTGGTTCGAACCTCAGCTCGGTTGGCGTGTCTGTGTGGAGTTCGCATGTACTCCCTGCGTTTCTGTGGGTTTCCTACGGGCATTCCGGTTTCCCCCACAGTCCAAAGACATGCGGTACAGGTGAATTGGGTAGGCTAAATTGTCCGTAGTGTATGAGTGTGTGTGTGTGAATGTGTGTGTGGATGTTTCCCAGAGATGGGTTGCGGCTGGAAGGGCATCCGCTGCTTAAAAACTTGCTGGATAAGTTGGCGATTCATTCCGCTGTGGCGACAACCGAATTAATAAAGGGACTAAGCCGACAAGAAAATGAATAATTGT